TTTCCAAGAACAACTGTTCAGTGTGACCATAAAGTTCAATGCCCTGCCTTCAACATTTCCAGCTCTTCAAGCAGAAAATAGCAGGACTTTAGCTAGTGGGGCTGAAGACTGATTTTGTTTATCACCAAAGTCCTTAAACAAGGACAGCACAACAACACTCAGAGTGCTGCTTAATCTCATGCATTTTACAATCCTACTACAGCTATTATGCAGTAACCTGGTAAAGACGTTTGAGGAACTTTAGCAGGCTTGACTATATAGTTACCAGGGCGTTCAAATAGGTTCATTTATGGACAGTTCTTTGGCTGTCACACTGGCAATGTCTGCATCAACAAACAGAATGGCCCAAAGAGCAGGATCATGGCAGTGAAACAATCTGGAACTGAGGACACCACATCCAACCATATATACTAGGAGAGGAGGTATTATTTTGGACTATCTTTATAGTCTGATCCCAAGTATTGAACCTCCATTAGCACCTGGAACAAATCAGATGTATTTCCAGAGTGAATATTGCAGTTTAGTTTCATCTAAAAGGCATGCATGGAGAATGGAGAAGATCATGAGACTTGCTCTGAAAGCTCAATCCTGATCCTAAATAGAACATTCACATAAATGCAGCATTGTGTTGTAATTTTTTGACTGACACATGGTATTGTATTTTGAACAACAAAATACATTTTTTGAATAAAAAATGTGACTGTGCATAAAAAGCTAGAAAACTAATTACTTTTCATTAGAGCAAAATATTTAATTCAGCAAAGCAAGCAAAGCAGAGAGGGGCACAGCTGACTCCATTTTACCAAGCCCAGCACTTCCCATCAAGGTGCCAACATCGCATTCAGCTCATGAAACGCACGTCAGAAACACTGACTGCACTGACTGCTGTCAGGACGACTGGGTTTGCTGGTGCACGTTCAGAGCTCATTAACTGAAGCAGGAGTGCAGGGAACTGCCTAGGCACTATCCTGTGGTGGGAAATACTGCCTTGATGGTGGTCTTTTTATGATGCTTTTAGAGATTCTCTCTCTAGAAGCTTCCCCATGTGCACTCTGTCATTGCTACAACTTAGCATACATGGTATTAATATTTTCCCGAGGACAGTTTGAATCCAAATAGTCTATGAATATTTATTTTCATTAACAGGCTCAAGACCCTAAGAGTTCCATAAAACACAAACCTGTGATTGTTATCTGATTTAAACAAATCACTTAATACACACTTTTTGTACATCTGTTACATTTTTATCTTGGAGGCTACAGAAAAGGTAATATCCTGAAAGAATATAGTATTTCAGTTTTTCAGACAACTATTTTGAATTGTTAAATTATATCTAAAGGTTGATTCCGTGTATGCTCAACATTGAATGAAAAAATAACTTGAATGACACCTAGTGGAAAGCTAAGCAATAGCTGATGATTGCACACCAATTATGTACAGTTTTGAATAGTGAGAACAGCAAGGAGGGAGATTCTTTATGAGAATGGGTGGGAGGAGAAAGAATTATTTGATAAAATGGGTGGAGTACAATTTAGGAGAAGAATTTCCTAAATGACAAGAGTTTATCTGCCTGTGTAATAATCATCTGACGAAATGGGATATTTCATTTGACAGAGGCAAAATTAAATCGGGTAAAACCAATAAATGTGTAGCAGGAAATAATACAATAAGCAGAATATGGGCAGGATGAAATTCATAGTCCTCCTATGTATAAATACTAAAAAGGCTTTAGCAGGCTAGTTCTCTAGGGTGCAGTAGATAATAGGAATATTTTGGCCCTAGGGCAACAATAACTACTGATGTTAGAGAAACCACAGATTTTCTTTAATTCATTTCTGCAAGCAATGTTCCTTGATGTGTGAATGAATTTCATGATAGATCTTTTTTTTTTCTTCTTTTTGCTAATTTGCTTATTTGTATAATTCATTAATTACCAGTGACTCACATCCAATTACAAAGAAAGATTTTGGTTAGTCTGTTCTCACCAACCTATTTGAAAATATGAAAGAACAGATTTAATCAAGATGATAGAACTTAAATGGCACTTTTGCCATCCATTGACAATGTGATGTGGCAAATTTTTTCAGCACTGGAAATGGAAATAGTGCTTGAGGAAGACTTCTGTCTTTCTAGGTCAAGAACAGGTCATTGACAGCAATAAATGACTATAACTCCTTAAAACTGTCTATAAAAAATAATGGCATGTTCTGCCTGAATTTCCTTTTAGTGGGTCATGCTTTTGATCTGCACATTTACCTTTAACTTGCAGCTTTTATTCTTAACTGCAAGGAAACTAGTAATCTCCCTTCAACTCTTTTTTCTCCCTATATAAGCAATCAGATGCAGCACCCACATAAGTGACTGGAAAAGTCAAGGCCTCAAAAGAAAACTATATCCAGAGAAGTGTGCTTTCAGGGAGTAAGGTAGCAAGAGAGGTTTTCTTTGGGAAACAAGAGTGTTCAGAAATACCTCTCCACTGAGAGGGGGCAGAGACTCTCTCATTCACAAAAAATTCAAATGGATCCACTCTGTGGAAAATATATTTTCAGACTATAACAAGATTATAGCAGATTATAACTTTTTTTCAAATTGGCTCTTAATAAATCCTCTTAAACGAAGAATCCTCATTTGGCCTACAAAAAGCTATATGCCTAAAATCATAAATGCAAATGCCTTGTATTTTAAGCTTTGCTTCTGCCAGATGCTCCCTGCATTCATTTGCCTCCACACAAGAGCTGAAGAAACTGGCCCATGGCACTCATCACAAGTAACAGATTCAGGGACTCAGCATGACCAGCTACTTCTCCGACCACGTGTGACACAACAGCCAGAGGAGTGTAGGACTACCTTTGTGAGGATTACCCATAGAACAGAATTTGAGTACGGATTCCAGAGGATTCCAAATATTTTGCATCCATTTCAATGCAAAAAGATGCAGCAGCTGATTTCACCATGTAACAGGAAAAATTTTATTCTGTGTGGCAGCATTCCTTAAGACATATAGCATAGACTGTGTGATACAGGAAACAGGCATGAGGGAAGACAGACATTTATGAAATCTATGGTTTAGTGATGTTCTTTCAAAAAAAGAAAAGAAACAATCCCTAAGATAGAAGGATCTTCTCAGCAGTCCACTCAATTCCAGCTGTTGAACATATGACAGGCAGATGAACTATTCATTTCAACAAGGGAAGAATCACTTTCCTCATCTTATAGAAAAGATTGAAATTCAAATGGGCTTTGAAGTATTTTTGTCTTCTCCCTCCAGCACTGTCTAAATTACCCTTTAAAATACTAAAGAGCAGAGATACACATTAAGTCATTTTCTTAAGGAAGTTCCTAACAAACTTCAGGCTACTGGTAATTGATTAGACTTAATGAAGAAAAGTATTTTAAATATAAGTAAGAATTAAATAGTGAGAATTAAACAATAAGGATTGCTATCTGCATAATTTTAAATGTCAGAAGTTTCCCTTCCCCCCAAGAACAGCATGTTATAAAGAAACAACAGCTCAGAAGCAGGGCTCTACTGCACATCTGCAACATCTGAAACTCACCTGGGTTTCATTTCCAAATGCAGAACACAGCTCAAAGCTTGTCCCCAGAACAACACACTAAACAAGGACTGGCCTGAATTAAATGACAGATCCACCCCACACTAGGTTTCCAAATGTCAACTGCTGTCTTAATTCTAGAGTGTTCATGTTTGGTAGCTAAAGCAAAGGAAAACTTATTTCAATACTATTCCAAAACTTCACATACAAAAAAAACCCGTGAAAACAAAATCCTGTTTTTGTTTTTCTTTTACACAAACATGGCATTCTTTATTTAGATGGACAGACACATGCATATTATAAACTTGTATCATCCTGAATCACTGGCTTTCCAGCCAAATATACAGAGAGCATGTTACGTTTTAAGATGACATATTGCTATTATTCAGCAGTTGATATTCTTCAGCAACTTGAGTGTGAAGAAATTTGCAGGATCATAGTCCTCTTCTGAGCTACACACAGCTTTCATGACTGGGAAGAAAGGCTGTGTATGTGCCCAAGGCCACCCCAGGCCTCTAGGCTGTGCTGATTAAAGGGAGCCATGCTAACCATGACAGTGAGCCTTTCGCAGAGCACATTCCCTGACTATTCTGGAATTCATTTCTAAACTCCAAACCAAACTAGGACATTACAAAGAAATTATATTCCACAAAATATCACAAGAACCAAAATAGGAATTGATCCATTGATCCACACATGTGTACCCTTCTTCACATTCAAGGTTGTGTCAGGGGCACCTACCTGCCTGAGTCATTCTGGCTCACATATTTCTGCACTGCTCCACATCACAGTGTACGGGTTGCTCTTAGCCTCCTCACATAAGATAGGTTCTCCAAATCCCTGATCATCACAGAAACCTTCTTTTCACTTGTTGGCTTAATCTTTTTTGAACATGGGTGACTAGAATGAAATACTGTATTTCAGGTGACTTTTCATCACTATTTCAATGTAACGGCATTTATATTTCTCTATCCCTTAATGATCTCACCTGACTAACGTAAGTTATTTCAATGCTCTGGTGTGTTTTTACAAATTTTACTTAATCAGTGGAAAGGCAGATATCAAACACACCTGGTTTTGACTAAAACAGAAGAACTCTATTTCATGGGCAAACTTGAGCCCCCTTGTATCTTGCTTAGGCTTGCATGTGTCAGTAGTTGAAGCTCAAGCTAGCTTTTATACCTGCAGATTATTACAGCTGAGGAAAATATCCCACCAGATTTCAGATGAGTCTTTTTAGGTTTTCCAGACATTCAGGTTTAATGCGAAAAATATATTAGCAATAAAAAAAAATCAAAAGCATTTCCTCTTGTCTGCAGAAAATACAAAAATGCCCCAAGCACTATATGCTGTTACACGTCAACCATATATAGCATCTTCCAATGGGAATGGCTTCCTATCACGTATAGGAAAAAGCTCATCTTCTTTAACACATTTCCTTAGTGACTCTCTTAAAAAGTCAGCTCCAGTCGCTATACATACTCCAACACTTTGCCAAGCAGAGGGAAAGGAATCAAGAGGGAATAAAGGTAAGTGTCAGTCAGGCATCTCACCAACTCCTCCTTTCTGCATTTTTGCCACAGTTCTTATTTCTATTTGATTCCAAATTTTTTGATGTCTATATATTAAATCAGAAGAGATCCTCTTTTCTATAGATATTGCTTAATTTTTTTTCAGTCAGATGACATAGTCTGTCCTTTTAAGATGTCTACTTTGAAAAATAACAGACAAGTATCTCGATTCAGACCAAAGATATTCAGATTAACTTCTTGCTAACAAAGACATAGGAGATTGTTAAGATTAATATTTCAGCTTCTCTGTGCTGTTTATAATTTCATGTAACATTAATTCAATTCAAAATATAGGAATGTAGTATTTAGATCAGGAATCTAAAACTGTCTAACTTTATTTTGAGAAGCTAATTACATATTTTTTGTAAGTAAATTGAGGCAAATTAATTTAAAACAAAATCAATCCATTTTTCCTACAATTTTAGTCTTTATTAAATGGAACTTCCTAGAGAAAAAAAAATAGTCTCAGCTTATTTTAAGTTTTTAAAAGGAAAACCTTTTTTTTTCAGTTCTAAAATATCTCTACACTTGAAAACATTATTTTGAAGAAATTTTTTTTCCAAATTCCATTCTATATTAGTATAATTTAAGCTCCTTATCACCTTCAGTATGTAAAAACCTCTTTTACTCTGTATTTGTTGCTGTTAATAGGTCTGTCCTACGTGCTTGCTATTTCTCAGGCTTTGTCCAGTCCAATTTTAAAATCATACTCAATGTGCTTCTAATGCTTGCCTGCAAACAGTTATATAACTGTTTTCACTTTCTTCAGTTAAAAAGGAATTTTCTTTAAGTGTATAGTGTATAAAACCCCAACACTTTTTTCAGGTTCTGCCATTGGCCCAGTAGTATCCAAGGCAATATAGAGTCAGGTATTTTTGATTCGATACTTAATTACTTACTGCAAATGAATTGGAAAAAAAAAAAAAAAAGAAGAAAATATATTTTAATTATGAGATGTACTAAAATCATAAAGAAAGATGGTTACAAGATTGGAAATTCCCCAACCTGTGCAAGGGAGTTTGTATTTCAAATTCCAATCCAGTCCCAAGGCTAGCTATGTATTTTTAAATGCAGAGAAGTAGTAGGAAATACAGGAAGGGAATAGCTTTAGAGGTTTTAAACTGCAAACAGAAAGGTTTAAAATGGAAGTCTAGTGGGATCCACTCTACAGAACTGGGAATGACATAGCAAAAGGGATAATTACCTGCTAGCCCAAAGCATGGTTATTTAATCCCTAAAAGACAAGCAGTACAAGATATGCAAAATTTCCAATTCTCTATTCATCCAAATCTTAAACTGTATGTTCTCAGAGATGCATGAAGCTACAAGGCAGCAAAAAAAGAACTTTTTGCCACATAAAAATACATACTTCTTTGTTAGAATCTTCATACTCTCAGAAAGATTTTTAGACATTTACAATTATTCAACCTCTTAAACTCAATTTTGAAAACTGACTTCAACACTCAATTTTAACACTAGACCTATGAAGATACAGAAATGGAACCAAAATCTTTGCCTAAACCTAACTGTTTTTACCACTGTCTCCTGGTGACATTCTGTTCCAGAACTTTGAAAAACAATATATTTCATACAATTATGAAGGAAATGCAATGAACTAGAGACAAAATGGAAGCACTGTGCTCTCTCCCAGTTGCACTTACGCTACTTTAATGTCAGGAAGAATGGCTCTGTGGGAAATACAGAAAGCTAAAGATTTTCTTCCAAAAACCTAAACCTCACGAGTAATCCTAAAAAAGAAATAGCTGCATTTAGAAATGTGGTAATGAATCATACTTATCAGATTATTATTCTTATTCTCTGGGTAGCTGAAGCATGAACAAGACAGAATTCATCAGTGTTGCAGGATTTGCCATATCATTGCTGTTCCACATGACCCAAACTGAAGTCTGTCCTTCAACCTGTAATTGTAAGTCACTGGGTGAAATGAAGGGCTTGCACATAGACTGCAGTTCAAGGAAGCTAACGGAAGTGCCTGCCTTGCCCGTTAACACCAAGAGGCTTTATCTGCAGAACAACAGCCTGACCTCGGTTCCTCCCGGTGCCCTGGACAGCTTGCGCAGCCTGGAGGAAGTGAAAATATTTGACAATCCTTGGAACTGTGACTGTCATATTCTGTATCTAAAACTCTGGTTAGAAGACGTCTCTGCACCCTCTCTTGCAAACATCAGATGTGCAACCCCAGCACCCTTGAAGAAGAAGCCCTTGAGCCAGCTGACTGGGAATGAGCTGGGGATTTGTAAGAGGCTTCTCCCAATCAAGTGTCTTGAGTTCTTTTGGCGAGACCTCATTTTAATTGCTGGAGCAATAACTACACTTATTTTAGTAGCATGGGCTCTGAAATTCTCAAAAAAGCTGGTCTGCCAAATAAACCTAAGCCAATATGACTCTAGGGGCTGACCCCTGGGGAGGCATACCTCCAAAAACCACAAGATACAATGAGCTGTTCACTACCACTAGCTTGAAAAGAAATGTTAAACTATTCTACCACAAAAAAGCACAGGCACTGACAACACTAGTTTTACTGGTGAACATGCTACAAACAGATCCCAGGGCTCAAAGTCTGGGTCTTCAGACTTCTAAATTTTTTAAAATCATTTAACTTAGCATTTTTCCACTGAATTCTCAGCTCTTATAGCAAGATTTACATCCCCAAATCCTACACTTTTTAATAGATGGAGATGAACACTGATTGTACTATTTTAGCAATTCTTTTCTCACTCAGAAGCTGTGTGAGTTTGTAACGTGTTACTGCCTCACAGTGTCCCAACGGTAGGACCATTCTTGGGTGCAAACAAATTCAGCCATCTCTTCCTCAGGTGCAGGAGTTTCCTGCCAGCAAAACCACTATGATTATATGGCCAGCCACTGAATGTATCCCTTATTGAATATGTTTAAAGATGGACTGGTAATGAGAATATAATCAGTAAAAATAATTTAAAATATTGTTGAATTTCCTAGAAAGTGAACAATAAAAAAGCATTCTATGTGAAACTGAAATAATGGATGCTTATTGAACATTCATACTCACCCAAGTTTAATGTCTTTCACAATTCTACACATTTCCCATTAAAATCCTAAGAAACTTCCAGAACTTGTCTTTCAGTTTTACTACTGACGTTTGATACACTGGATTTTATGCAACAGCTTTGAAGAGGATGGACTCTCTTCCCTTCTCTTCTAGTGCCCCCCATCCTCATAGAAATATTGTTGTAGTGACTCAAGCATATTGTTTTCCCCTTAACTTGATTATTCACAAGACTCCAAGAACAGCAATTCATGCTGTGACCCCATCTGGTCTGGTGAAGTTAGGCTAGTTAGATGGGAGATCTCTGAAGGTCTTCTAAAATTAATACTACTGTTGGCAGTTCAATTTAAGACGCATTTTGCAAATGCTCCTCCTAGCCCCAAACCTGAGCTAGGTATTAGAGGTATGCTGAAGACACTAAAGACTGCTTGGCTCTTTACCTAGCACCTTGTCACATGAGAGGAGTTCCTTATTAAAGCACATAATATCCCTAGCAAACCTGGTGGTTAGCTTTCGTCTGACAGGTGGTTTTGCAATTACCATGTGCTGTCACTTCTATAAGATGAGACTCATTCCTAGCCACAAACACCCAAATCAGACAGCAGTTCACAGGGATATTTCCAGGTCCCTCTTGCCCCTGCCAAACCACTTCAGCAATATGGAGTCAAACTGTCAATGCTGACAGCTGGTGACATTCTCAGACAGTTTTAGAAGAGACATGTTACTGTCTGTAACATATCTTCACTGTTGGTCCTCTCTCTTCTGCACTAGCAGGGAAAGGCCAATCTGAGACATCACCACTTGTCAACCTAAATTGATTCCAATTCAGGATGAGTCACTTGCCCCTCTCTGTGACACAAGGAATGGCCACTGAGTACGGTGGAACTGCTGAAAGAACCTCTGAAGTGCAGATAGATTTGGGGAAAGGACACACACCATGGGTAGAGGGTTACACAATTTAGTAATGAAGTGTAGCATGGGGCTTTAGACTGAGAAAAGGAAAGGGACAGTCAGATGTTTTCCCTGTAAAATAATTAATGATCTGGGAGACAACATGCCCATTGCCATTCTAAAGTCTGCAAATGATACACAGTGGGGAAGAAGAGGGAAGTCATAAACGTGAAGAATGGTAAGTTACGTGGAGTGCCAAGCAATTGAAAGCAAGATTGTACATCTAGAAACAAAAGATGGGTTAAGGACTCAATTCAGAGAAGGCAAATAATCTGGTAATCATGATCTCCCATATATGACATTGCAGCAAAGGGTTAATGTGATCTTTTCTTGTTAAAATAGGGAATATCATTTAGGGATAGAAAGACTTAGGTACTTCCGTGTTTAGATAAGCTACAATGGTTCAGTATCAATGTCTACAAATCAAGAAGAATCAGCTGCAGAAGAATCAGAAAAATAACTGTAATGCAAAGAAAGGATTGGAAAAATATATCTTCAAAGGAGCTTAATCAATTTGATTTAATAAAGAGGAATTTAAGGAATGACAAAATCACAGCTTGTATGAATCTACATGAAGAGAAATTTGTTAACAAAGGGCTGGGAGTAGAAATTGGAACATCAGACTAGAAACAGGGCTCAAAATCTAACAATGAAAAATAAACACTGGAACAGCTCATCAGATGTCATGGTGAATCCTATAGCCTAACCCACAGTGGGCATTTTTTCAAATTGGTAGGCACTACCTGAAACAAGAATGATTTTAACAGAATTGTGTGAGACACCTAAAACATTACAGCTATCCTTATTGCTTTGGTCACCTGCAAAATTTATGGTGGGACAGGCCATGAAAAGAGAGACCACAATGACAATGCGTCACAGGGACATCCTTAGTGAGCACTGGCAACATCTCTGAGGAACTCAGGCTGTGCTGGCTGAGTCAGCCTCCCACACTACACAGCAGCAGTAATATTCCACTCTATCTTCTCCAACTGTATATTGCACTCTTCACCAGGAGTACTCAAAGTGCAGCAAAGAATTTGCTTTTCACAAAGTGTTGCATCCCTGCCGCAGGAAGCGAACCATATAACCTAGAAACAGCACGGCTTAGTAAGGCTGTATCACCCTCCGGGGCAGACCAGAGTAAAATTGTGTCTTCAGATTTATGTGTACATTTTGATCAGGTGAGCACTAACATTCAGAATTTCTCTAGCTTTATTTAATGTTTTTCTACGTAAGTAACCTCTGCAGGACAGAATTTCAAATAAACACATAGGAACAGAGTGGTGTACGCACTTAGATACTTCCAGAATATTTTCTCTGCACTGAGCTTTTCAATTTTTTAAAAGGCAGCCACCATTTTATATTAATGCAGAATATTACAGAAGAAATGCACTCTGCAGTCTCTCATGGAGAGTTTCCTAAATGATATTTCTTGTTTCCCCAAAATAAATTAAATCACTAACACTAAAAGCTTATCACTCTCTTTTGTGCCTATAAAGCTAGATATGCATAAAATTGCTTTACTCTATAGCTTTAATTATACAAACATAAAAAACTGAGCAATTAGCAAACATTTCTGCTTTTACCAGCTAACTCATTAAATAAGATGCACAGAATACAGGAAAAAAAAAAAAATTTGAGAGAACATGTTTTTCTGACCTCATAAGAGGAAAGAAGAGGGAATCTCTTCCATGGCAGTATTTCACATTCCACTAAAACAGCATTGTATTTATAATTTCTGATCCATTTGGCTTTTATCTGAAAAAAAACCACTGAAAAAGGGAAAGCTGGAACTGCTAACTGAAGGTTCAAGAGCAACATTCAACTGTTTATCTGGCAAGGCCACTATGTCGTGCTTAAGCCACATACTCCATCAAATTGCATAAATAATGCTGCAGTTGCTAACATCATGCAAAGACAGGAAAATACGTCAGCTATCTACATGAAACATGCAGACAGCATTCCCAAAGGAGTTTGTAAAGGTCTCAGAAAGTGTTACTATATGATGCCTGCAAGACTGCAAACTAGTGAATATATCTGTTTTCACATTCTTTGGTAACATAGGTATAACTGCTGGGATTAATTTCAACTAAAAGTTCTGAGTTTTGTTTCAATATTTAGCAAGACAAGTAATCATACTCAGAATTATTGAGCAAGAACAAAAAAATATTTTTAAACAGTTCACTAATACACGGAGTAGATTTGTGTAAACTGCAATTCTGTGTAAACTGCAATTCAATTAACGTGGACAATATTTGCAGGCTTCATTTATTAAACAGAATGGTAGGTGAGTCACCTTTTTTTCTTGAAATGCTCAAGATTTTCTTAACATTGTAGCGAAAAGCATTGCTCAATCTGAACAACTTCTGTTTAGCTTAATGTTTTCTTTCTATCTAGCATCTTGTGATGGGTTGACCCTGGCTGGACGCCAGGTGCCCACCAAAGCCGTTCTATCACTCCCCCATCCTCAGCTGGACAGGGGAGAGAAAAATATAACAAAAAAAGCTTGCGGGTCGAGATAAGGACAGGAGAGATCATTCACTAATTACCATCACGGGCAAAACAGACTCAGCTTAGGGAAAATTAGCTCACTTTTTATTACAAATCAGCCAGAGTAAGGTAAATGAGAAATAAAACGAAATCTCAGAACACCTTCCCTCCACCCCTCCCTTCTTCCCGGGCACAACTTCACTCCCGGATTTCTCCACCAAGCCCCCCCAGCGGCACAAGGGGGACAGGGATGGGGTTTATGGTCATCACATGTTATTTTCTGCCGCTTCACCTCCTCAGGGCGAGGGCTCGTCACACTCTTCCCCTGCTCCAACGTGGGGTCCCACCCACGGGAGACAGTCCTCCACGAACTTTCTCCAACGTGGGCCATTCCCACGGGCTGCAGTTCTTCACGAACTGCTCCAGCGTGGGTCCTTTCCACGGTGTGCAGTCCTTCAGGCACAGACTGCTCCAGCGTGGGTCCCCCACGGGGTCACAAGTCCTGCCAGAAAACCTGCTCCGTGGACTCCTCTCTCCACAGAT